TTCTATCAATGAGCTGTGCCTTATTTCAAGTGGATAATAGAAGAAGAAAGGGTCTGGCAGTGGATTCTTTAAAAGGAAAGCAGGGGCACCTGGGTCGCTCAGTCGGTTATGTGGCTGCCTCGGGCCAGGTCATGATCTCTGACTTCTGAGATTGAACCCGTGTCAGGCTCTCTGCTCATTGGGGAGTCTGCTTCTCCCTCTGTCCTTTCCCCTGCTCTTTCTCTCTCCCTCACAAATAAATAAATAAACTCTTTTTAAAAGAAAACAAAAGGAAAGCAAGGCAGGATTTTTCTGTTCATTTTTCTCCTGTTATGAGTAGTGCGTAGTAAAGTTCATGTGACTTTCTTACTGATGTGCACTTTTTTTCTGCTTTCAGTGTTTTAGGAAGAAGATCCTTTTATTGATTTTGTTCCAGAGCTGACTGGGTCTTATTTGCCAAAGGTGGTGCTGGTGGGGTATCCAACAAAGGAGTAAAACTGTTCCTGCAGCAGAATAATGATGGTAGATCTGAAGGTGGCTGACTCTTTGAACCCTCAGATCAGGGTTCTGTGGGAGAGCAAGGGGCCTGTGATAGAGAGTTCCAGTCACAATAAGAAATATACCACACAAACGGACAGTCTCAGTCCTGAAAGCTGTCGCCAGCACTTCCGGAATTTCTGCTATCATGAAGCAGCCGGACCCCGTGAAATTGTTGGACAACTTCAGGAATTATGTCGTCAGTGGCTGAGGCCTGAGCTCCACTCAAAAGAGCAGATCTTGGAACTGCTTGTGCTAGAACAGTTTGTGACCATTCTACCCAGGGACACCCAGAGCCGGATAAGGAAGGACCATCCACAGAGCATTGAGGAGGCTGTGGTCCTGGTAGAACACTTGCAGAGGGAATCTGGTCACACGAGGAATGGGGTGAGAAGAAAGATTCCTGGTACATGCCATGAAATAGAATGAAGGAGGATATGGGGTGGGAGCAGTTAATTGAGAAATAAGGTGAATTAGTTCACTGTTCTGTTGGAGGACATCTAAGGCAGGACCAGAAACCACAAACCTACAGCAGTAGTCCACAGGTTTTGCAGATCCTTGGCAGATACTTTCCTGGCCTTTGAGAAAGATTGCTTTTGTACTCTTTAGAGCCAGACTGAATTGAGGGTAGTAAGCCCACTTTGGCTTGTACAAGGACATGGGTTTTGAGCTCCAAATGAATAAAAGGCAGGAGTTGGAGAGGAAGGGGAAGACTTGAAAAAAGGAGAACACTTAAAATGAAAGTTGAGTGGAGATAGTAAAGAGAAGGAAAACCCAAATAATAGGGGAACAATGCAGAGGGAGAGAAAAGTAGGCAGAAGAAAGGGAAACAGATTTGAAAATCCTAGCAGAGTAGCGGAGAGAAGACGAGGGATAGTCTCGTCTGACTCAGGTGAGAGCCTCCACAGTGCTCTCAATGGTTGGTCCTTGGCTCTACTGGTTAGTGGGGAGCACGTCCTTAGCCAGGTGGCAGAACACCAACTGGCTTCAGGCCTACTGGGAAGAAACAGGGCAGGCATATGTTTAATGCCAAAAAATTTTGGAGGTAGGTTTGAGCCAAACTTTCTTCCCCTTTCTTCCATTTCATCCCTGTTCTGTGAAAACCTTCCCTGGCCATGGGGATAATATGGTTGAGGAGACAACTTCATTTATTCAACTCTGACCTTTTGAGAAAATGAGAAGACAAAAACACTAAGGAGGAATCTAAGTCAAAGAGAAAGACTGTCAAAGTAGCATGAGAACAGGTGGCCTATGTAGTCCTGCTAGTGATCTGAGCTGGTCTTTATGCAGAGGGGTTGGGCCTGCTGTGTCAGAGGACTAGCAGTAGCCACATTTTTTTTCCCTTTTACCCTAATATTTCAACGTTTTGTGGGTAGCTGTCTGGAAAATTAGTGGCCTGATATTTCTTTAAGTCTTTTTGTCATTTCCTTTAGTGTCACACACTTCCCACCCTCTGGACTGTTCACTATTTCCTCCTTTTACATTCAACCCCAAAACCAAAAGTAATTTTTGTGGTAACAAGATGGGGATTATTTCTAGGTTGCAGTCCAAGAGCTGGGAAAGGAGGCAGTGCTCTTGGGAGAAACAGCAGAATCCCAGCCAGTGGGAATGGCCCAGGATGAAGAATTCTGGAATACATACCAGGGTCTGCAAGAACAACTGAGCAGGAATATTCATAAAGAAACTGAGCCTGTATGTGAGAGGGGTAAGGCACATCATAATTCCCTTCTGTTGGGAGCTGTTAGAGGAATTTGTTCAGCCAGAACATTGTGAGCATTTTCTGGGTGCCTGGCTCTGTGAATGGGCAAATGCAGCCATGTTATCAATTATGATGTCCCCTAGGTGGCAGTAGAGCACCAACTGTGGGTAAAGCTGGGCGTTGGCCTAGGGTACAGAAACCTTCCACCTACAGAACCCTGGTAATAACCCCATGAACTCTGTTCCTTAGAAAGCACTAGAAGAATGTGAACACACTTCTGTACCAGGAGAAAAATAATAAATGATTAAAAACAACAACAATTAACATCTCCTGTCGTACACTGGATATCCTGAGTACTTCATTTTCGAGTATGTTGAATTTTTGCCTTAGAACAGTTTACATCATGAGGGGAAAATAAGAAGATTGTCTTTCATTTATTCACTCATGAAAACTGGGGAACCTATTCTAGTGACCAGTAGATACTTGGCTCTTGTGTATGATGACAAGACCCACTTCAGGGAACCACACACACTTGCAAGGGTGTCCCAACTCTACCCAAAGAATTGGGATCATCTATATTTTAGAAATGAGCTAAGGATGTTTATAGACAGAAGTGAGAGAGATTTCCTCTGGCTCTTTTCCACTTACAGCTGTGCCTGCTCACCAGATCCTAGCATTTCCTGTGCAGACAAACACTAAAGACTGGACAGTGGCACCCGAGCTCATCTTGCCTGAGTCCCAGGTGAGCTGTGCAATCCAGATATTGAGGGCTGCCTTTCCCTGCTCCCCAGGACCCATACTGCCCAGCTCATAGCTCCACTGTTCTGCCTGGGGAACTGGGCACCTCCTAGGCTGTTGATGATCCCAAGCTTCTTTTCTTTTTGCCTTCTCACTTAAAAAAAAAAAAAATGTGCCATTAATTCCTTGAATGCCCAGGGTCTACCATGGGCCAAATGGTAGGGCTGCTTCTGTAGTGCAAGTACTGAGCTGAAGCCCATTGTCTTCTTTAGAGCTTGTTGACATTTGAAGAAGTGGCCATGTATTTTTCCCAGGAAGAATGGGAGTTACTGGATCCCACTCAGAAGGCCCTCTACAATGATGTAATGCGGGAAAACTATGAGACTGTCATCTCTCTAGGTAAAGAATCTCCCTCGCATTGGGTAGAAGTTGAGTAATCTGTCATGTTCTCTGTTTACTGGGAATGTATTCCTCTGAGAGGCTGTGTTCCGATAACAGGTGGTTTCTCAGCTAGATGGTGTGTGGATAGGGGAAAGGTGTATCCAGATCACCTGGGGAGCTTTTTTCAAGTGTACATGCTCATTCTTTATGCTAAATTCTTTTTTTTTCCCAAGATTTTATTTATTTATTTGACAGAGAGAGACACAGCGAGAGAGAGAACACAAGCAGGGGGAGTGGGAGAGGGAGAAGCAGGCTTCCCGCCAAGCAGGGAGCCCTGAGCTGAAGGCAGACACTTAACGACTGAGCCACCCAGGCGCCCCTATGCTAAAATTCTTGATCCCTCCCTCCCCCCTCCTCCAAATCTCTTTCACCTTTCCCATCTCCATAAAGAGCAGCACCACTCACCCAATATTTCAGGCCAGATAATTTGCAGTCATTCTTTGATCTTGCTTTCCTACCCCAATCCTAATCCTCCTCTTAGCTCCACATTCACGGTATCGCCTGAGTCCAACCATGTCTCATCCTCTTGAATTGTTAGCATCTTGGTCTAATCCAGGGGAGTGTGTAACCAGGCTCACCTCAGTACTTTCTAACTGGCGCCTTCTGCCACCACTCTAAGCCTGTCACAATCTACTCACCATGCAACAGGCAAGGTTTTTTAAAACCCTGATTTGATCATGATATCATCCTTTTTAAAATCTTACAATGACTTCTCATTCAGAATAAAATCATTTCTCACTGAGGTACCCAGGAGCATCCAAGATCTGGCCCCTATTCATCTGCCACTTGGGCCCTTGTTCAGTCCTCCTTATCCATAAGATATTGCTGTTTCTTGAACTCACCAAGTTAATTTTTTGCTTTACTGTTCCCATCCTTGGCACACTGGACAGAGTTCTGCAATTTTAAACACATCTAATTTTTCCCCAACTTTGAACAATTTATGACACGTGAGGTGAAAAAAAATTCCTTTTATTGCTTTCACTCATGAAACCAAAGACCATCAACTGTGGAACCTGTTGTAGAGGCTAGTAAATGCTCAGTTCCTCCTTATGATGAGAAGGCCACTTCTCGGTAACATGTAACGGTTTTAAAAGTGTTCCATTTCTGCTGAAAGAATCAGGATTATCGGTACTTTAGAAATAAGCTAAGGATGTTTATAATCAGCAGCAAGAGAAATTTCCTCTGGCTCTTTTCCACCCACAGCTGTGCCTGCTCACCAGATCCTAGCCTTTCCTGAGCAGATAATCACCAAAGACTGGACAGTGGCACCTGAGCTCGTCTTGCCTGAGTCCCAGGTGAGCTGTGCAATCCAGCTATTGAGAGCTGTCTTTCCCTGCTGCCTATAACCCACATTGCCCTGCAGGTGCTCACATGTGCCAATGTTATCTCTAGGAACTAGGCATCTCCTACTCTGTTGCTGATCCTTTTGCCTCCTTCTTTTCTCTCTCCTCACTTAAAAAATTATCTGCTATTAATTCATTTGGCCTGGCCTGCCATGTAGTTCATGGGCTAGACGGTAGGGCTGCTTCTGTAGTGCAAGTACTGAGCTGAAGCCCATTGTCTTCTTTAGAGCTTGTTGACATTTGAAGAAGTGGCCATGTATTTTTCCC